AAAATATTCAGGAAATCTGGGACACCATGAAAAGTCCAAATTTACACATCATAGGCACAGAGGAAGGAGAAGAAACCCAAACAAGTATGCCAGTCTCCACTCATCAAAGAAGCTTCTTTTGCAACAGATGGAGACTATTACAAAGTTCCACAACTGTCACACACAGAAAATGGGTGTCTATGAGATGCCCAACTCTAAGTGACACATCTACAATGGAATCTCTACACCTAAGGCTCATGGAACATAGTGGAACAAGGGGTAGAGAGCATACTAATGCATCTCTCAACTCTCATCAACAAAGTTCCCTCAAGCAACAGAGGGCAATGAACACAGAAGGCCACGAATGGCCTCACCTATAGAGAATAAGAGTCTGCAGAGTGTGGATCCCTGGACAGGACTCCTATGTTAAACTTCATCCACCCAGGGCTCAGTGACCATTGCAGAAGAGGGGGCAGAAAGATTGTAAGAGCCACGGAGGAGGTGCATGACCGTATGGAAACAGTCTTACACATTCCTGGGACCTTGCTCATATGAACCTATAGCAATGGTGTCAGCATGCACAAGACCATGCAAACTCTAGCAGACAAAAACTGGGGAAATGGATAGCAGGCCCTAACTTTAGCCAAAGAACTATTAGCAGCTGATTACCTCTGGGTGAGAGACAGTTGATCTTGATCTTTTTTTTTTTTTTTTTTTGAGACAGGGTCTCCCTGTACCCCTAGCTGTCCTGACACTCACTATGTAGACCAGACTGGCCTTGAACTCACAGAGATCTGCCTGCCTCTGCCTCATAAGTGCTGGGACTACAGGCGTGTGCCACAACTCCTGGTGAGTTGATCTTCTTTAGGCTGACTGGACTCCAGTGATGAACTTGCACTGAGGGCTGTCTGAGTACACTAACTTGACTCGATAGGTTTAACATAGACAGGATGCTTGAAATTCAGTGGGGCAGGATATGGGGAGTCCAGATGGGGGAGGGGGTATAGAGATGATTAAGGTGTTTTGTATGAAATACACAAGAAAATCAATTTTAAAATATACATTCAAAAAAAAGGACACCAGGCATATGGAGGTAGGGAATATAGGCTGGGGAGGCTGGGGGCAGAATGAATGACCTCAAGGCCCTAGGAGGGTAAGATTCTGTATGCTGAATCCCAAGTTATCATTTGTGGCTTAAAGATGGAAAATTTTAGACTCCATCTCTGACAGGACTAAATTAGAATTTGCATTTTAGCAAGAGCCCCAGGCAATTGGCACACACACTAAAGTATGAAAAATGTTCTGGTGTGGATAGCTAATGAAAATGTTTTAGGTGATCTAAGGACATCTTTATTTTAATAATTATTAGTTTTATTAATTCTCTCTGTAGCAAATGCTGGTATTTTTCATCTATGAAAGTGATATAAGAGCAATTTATTTCACTAAAAGTCTATTTTAAGAAAAAAATGGGAAGTAAATAATAAGACAAACAAGGACCAGTTTGGGACAAATTGTGACCAGTGCCACATGGACATCTGAAATCTGAGAGTTCTGCTTCTCATTCTCCCCACCCCTCCTCCCTGATTCTCCTGTCACCCCACTCTCCGCCCCTGTCGCCTATGACCCGCCTCAGACCTACAGTCATCAGACAGAAGAAACATCACTATGTCACATTGGAGCCGGGGCCAGAAAATGGACACGATCGCACAAGTTCTAAGTATCTGGAACAGCAGGAGGCACAAGCAGCCATCCAACACCCAGCACCCAGCACTCAGCACCCAGCACACAGGTGTTTCAGTGACAGTATAGAACAGCTGTCCCCTAGGATGATAACGGAACTGAAAACTTTCTTGTCATCTAGCGACATCAAGGCCATCATAAAGTCTTAGCACAGCGGGTTCATTACTTGGTGCTCACTGATGTAGTGTGATGAACCAACCCAGCAGGCTTGGAAAAGTCTACACTCAAGTAATATGCAGTGCACATACTTGATAAGGACAATAAGCCAGCATCACCAGCTTAAGAATTTGCTGTACTTTAATCATTAGAATGTACTCCTACTTATGGGAAAGGTTTGTTGTCAAACAGTATGCCGTGCTACCCCGGCAGCAGCCTCATCCATGTGTTGTCTACTGGGTATATTGATCACATCAAGGTGAGGCCCAAGTGAGTGACTGACTTACACCAGCTAAATTTGTGTAAGCATACCCCCTGATCTTCACGAGGGACGCATCGCCTCTTGGCTCATTTCTGAGCACATCCCCAAGCTACATGCTATGTGACTGTACTTGGAAATATTTCTCTGTCTAGCTACTTTTATTGAGCACTTATCTGAGTCCATTGCTTCAGACGGTTTAGTCCACGGATACTTTACCTTGTGCATTTGGGCAGAGCTAATGATCCTGGGAGCATGTGGTTGAGGAGAGCAGAGCAGAAACAGGAAGGGCTCAAAACTAGCTACAACCCCCAAGTAGCCTACTTCCCCCAACCAGGCCCCACCTTCTACAATCCCACCATCTCCCAATAGTCTGTTCAAATTTTGAGCCCAGCAAGTGCTTAATTACATAGGAATTCCCCACAAAAGCCCCCTAGCGTGACCCTGATATAAGCTGTTTTGAGCGGTCAGAAGATGCAGTATCTCACATAGCAAGAAGTTCAGAGGATGCATGGCTTCAGGTGTGGTGCAATCAGGGTGCTAGCTGACCTCTGTGGTGCTCTGTCCTCAGCCTTTCTTCCCCTCTTGACTCCACCTTTGGCTAGCTCCTTCACTGTGGCAGATAGCCACCAGCAGAAAACGGGCTCGTGCGCTTGGCATACCCACTGAAGCACAACACAACACACACTTAATATCTTTCTTCAATTGGGCCAGTTCGGTCAACTTGCACTCTGAGCCAATAACTGTCACTGGGGCAATGCTATGTGCTGATTGGCTCGTGCCCGCATTTATAAATACATCACTGAGAATGTCTGAGGCCAATCTGGGCTATTGCTAAGGCTCATGCAAGTGAGTTCTCCAGAGACCATGGGCTTCTCAGGGTAGGAGCAGAAACCAGAGCACCAGGTTCTTTTGGGATGTAGAAAGGAAGGAATGGATGCTGGGGACTCGGCCAACAGTGCTCACTGCAGCATGTGAGACTGGGGACAGCTGGGTGGCACAGTAAAAAAAAAAACAAAAAAAAAAAAAAAACACACCATATTAACCTCTGCCTGTTAATCCAGGAGAAAATCTCTTAGAAAATATCATCATCTACCAAATCAAAGCTTGGGATAAAAATTGTGATATCACCACAATTCAGTAAGAAAAAAGAGTCCCAGTGGCTACTATACATTGAGCAGCCCTTGAACTAGGCGCCAATTCAGTTAATAATTGAATTCTCCTAATGCCCTTTCTAAGTTGGAATTACTGTCTCTGTTTAATAGATAATAAAACAGGCAGGTATTGTGACTTGCTGAGGGTCATGTGGCAAGGGGCGGAACAGGAAACGGAGCCTTGGTCTCTGTGAGGAAAAAGTCCCTGCAGCAGGTTGACATTAATGCTAACCCCGTTGTTTTCAGTCTGAGGACCCAGAAAGGCACTGCCGCTATTGGACAGCTTAAGCTGGGTGCCAGCCAAGGAATGTTCCAGATGTCACAGTTGCTCACTTAAGGCATCCATGTTAATGCTTATAACCTTTAACATACGCCTGTGAAGCTGTGTACACACAGGTGAACACAGCAACCTCAGCGAGGAAGTTAGCTGGATGTAAGGATTACTTAGCTTCCTAGCACTGATTAGGCATGTGTGGTAGTTAATCTTGATTGCTATTTCAATTGGATTGAGAAGGCCTAGGAAGTTAGAGAAATTCAGCTCTGGCCGTGTCTGTAAGAACCTTCCCAGAAACAAACTAGACTGTGACTCTCTCTGGAGACAGTGGCTGTTTATCAGCCTGGGTACCATTCCAATGCCCATCTTTGATAGTAGAAAAGAGTTAAAGTAGAAAAGAGAGCTTGTGGCTAAAAGCCACCGGGATTTGGTGGTTGTTATTGCAGCGAAACCAGCCTGACCTGACTGATAAAAACACTCTGGTTTCATCCACTCTTCTCTGCAGCACTTTTGTAGCCTGTATTTGTCAAATTTGTTATTTTGTTTTCCAAATGTTGAACCATTGTGGGCCATGTTCAGTGGCACAGGATGTGGTTAAAGAGGGAGAAAAGAAAGACAGCCCAGCCCAGCCTGCTTGTGTCTCCTCACTTCTTACTGAGCCACATCTCAATTGCTAAGTGGAACCCACATAGTAATTCTCCTAAACCTCTTCAACAGCCCAACAGCCCACACTTTGCAGCCAGGTCTGCTTCTCTGTCACCTTCTCATATGAAATTTCATTCTCCAGGTCCTATTGAAGCATACTGAGTCCTTCCAGGAATCAAACACCTTCCAGATAACCAGCTTGGCTGATGTAGACAGAATTCTAGTAGCAAGAGTGGCAATTTCTGACAGGTAACAGCATTCCCCTCTCACTAGACCGTAAATCAATTGGACGTGATTGTGGTACACTAGAGCCAAGAAGCCCAGCTCCCAGTTCTGGTCTGCCACCACATTAGGTCACTAAGCAAAGGAAAGAAACCAACTTAAAACAAATTATTCAAAAATCAGAAAATAAAACCCTCAAACAAGCTGGGCCTGGTGGCACATGCCTTTAGTCCTAGCACTTGGGAGGCAGAGGCAGGAGGATCTCTATGAGTTCCAGGCCAACCTGGTCCACACAGTGAGTTCAGGCCAGCCAGGGCTATGCGGTGAGACCCTGTCTCAAAAAATAAAGACTTCTCAAATGTCTCAGAACAATTCTCAAAGAGGTCAAGGGGCTGGAGAGATGCTCAGTGGTTCAGAGAGACTTGAGGAAGATGAAGGTCAATTCCCAGCACCTGTGTCCCTCAGCAAACAACTGCCTGTAACTCCAGCTCCAGGGGATCCATAACCCTCTTCTGGCTTCCAAGGGCACTGCACTCAGGTATACAGACTCACATGGGATACATATGCTTACATTGTGTTGGCTCTGTTCTCAGGAGGCAGTAAAGATGACCTGAGGTCCAGACGTCCGCTCCAGTAGCTCAGCAACTGCAAGAAAAATGAGACAACAGTTCAGTTAAAGTCACAGAGCAACTCAGTGTTGTGGCACATGCCAACTACCCCAGCACTCAGGAGGCCAAAACAGAAGGATCATGAGTTGAGGCCAGCCTGGATCCCAAGAGTCCTGAAAAGTGGAAGAGGCTAATGGAAGAAGAGGCCAGAGTGACCCACTGTGAGAAGGAACTGACCCACCAGTGTTGGCCTTAAAGAGGCAGGAAAGTGCCCATAAACCAAAGAACACAGCTGTGTCTAGAAGCTGGAAAACTCAAGGAAATGGGCTTGGAACCTTACAGCCCTGCCAACACCTTGGTTGCCATCCAGTAAGGCTCATGTAGGATTTCTAATGTATAGAAACATAGCTTTGGCTAAGTCACTGCTTAAGGTAATTTGTTAGAGGTGCTAGAGGAAATGAATACAGTCGCCCAGTTAGGGATGCACCCAGCAGTGGAGGTGGATCTGAGAGGGATAGAGGAAGGGTTTGAATATGATTGAAATATATTGTATGAAATTCTCAAAGAATCAATGAAAACACCACTTTTAGAGTGAGAATATAAACCAAAGCCCCTTTCTCAAAAAGACCAAAAAAAAATCGTAAACAATAAGGGGGTCTTTGGTACTCAAGGATTTAACTTATCACTGAGGCAGATGAAAGTGATCAGATCTATCCCAGGCCTTGGGAGGCTTGACTGGGATGGGAATAGCTTCAGTCAAGATGCTTGAACTGAGAGCCAGAACTGTACCTTTTCTCAAGAAGATCCTAGTGTTTATACCAAAAAAGCAGGTAGACAAAAAGCAACTGTGGACCATCCCGGCTGCCCACCTCTTCCCACTCCCAGTCTCAGCAATCCTAAGTCAAATTCTTGGTCAAACTCACACTGAAGTCGTAAGCACCCTACAGTGTTGCAGCATTCTGATGTTGTGGTAGTCTAATGTGGAGGAGTGTGGTAATGCTCACGAGGGTGTTGAAAGCCAAGCACAGAACCTTTGGCAGAGGAGAATCTGGCCAACAGCTGACAATTTAAAAGAAAATTCCATAGCAATTACCCCATAGAGAATTTCAAGAAAGTATCCTGGGGTCTGGAGAGATGACTCAGTGGTCAGAGCACTGGTTGCTCTTGCAGAGGACTCAGGTTGGGTTCCCAGCACCCACATGGTGGCTAACAACCATCTGTAACTCCAGTTTCAGGGGATCTGATGCCCTCTTTTGGCCTCTGCAGCATTGCACACATGGGTGCACATATATACACGCAGGCAAAACACTCATAGATGTAAAATAAATAACTCAAAACAAAATGTTTAAAGGGAAGTATTCTAGCATCAGAATTCCATATCCTCACATATTTTTGTTGACATTGATGCTTTTTATAATGCGATGCAGGGGGGAGTGCTACCATGTAATTTTTTGGTCGGGGGATTACATAAACACATACAATCACATTCGATGCATACTCTCTATGCCTCAGTCAGGATTATAACCTAAATTTGGTTACATATAAGGAACTTTTCCCCGGATAAATGGACATGGAGAGTTCACTGAGGTCTTAACCTGAACTTCTCTGACCCTCATGCTACTGAGTAAGAACCCACGAATTGATTTCTTGTCCTTCTAAGAAATACACGTTTGTGTCTTTTGCTCTTTCTTCTGTTTTCCTATTGACTTATAGGTGATCTTTCCATATTCTTAACCTTTGTTGCTGTATACATCACAACTATTTCTCTGAATAATTAAATCCATTTATCGAAGGTAGCATTTCCTTAACAACACAACAGTCAAAGGATTTTGTTGTTTTTTATTTGTATGTTTGTTTTAGATTTGATGAGAAATCTCTTTTAAGTGGATTTACTTCAAGAGTTCACTGTATAAATTATCTTCAGATAACCATGGACTCCTGGAGTTCAAAATCAACACAGCACAAAATCCTGATGAATTTTTACTCCAACTTTTTTTCGTCAATATTCCTTGTCAACATCTTTCTTGAAATGGGCCACATCAGATAATACAGTTATGCACGGTATAACCAGGTTTTGATTAAGAGGAACTACATTGTGGTGTTGGGCCAAGAAATGATAATGGAGCTGAAAACCTCTTTTGACTTCATTTTTCTCCACTGTATCTTTTCTGTGTTTATATTACATATGGACCACTCTATGACAATGACAGATAATATTCAGAAGACCTGTGCAGGTTGGTGGCCCAGGAACAAGGGACTGCACCATCTAGGTTTGTACCCGTACATGCCACTATGCTCACACGATGGTGGTAACCTGCAGCACCTAACGGCGCATTTCCAGAACGTATCCCCATCATTAGGTGACGTGACTGGGCTTCACAGGTTCAGTGTTTCCTTCAGGCTACATTGTCTGGCTTAAGATCGGTACCACTGTCCAAGACTTTCAAGTTTCTTTAAGTTCCGTGTTGGGAACTAGAAAATGCTATAGTTGCATAACTATGGCTCTTAAAAATCATCATTTAGGGAGGTGAAGAGATGGCTTCATGTTTAAGAGTACTTGCTCTTGCAGACAACCCAGGTTCAGTTCCCAGCACCCACATGACAGCTAAAAACCATCTTTAACTCCAGTTCCAGGGGATCTGAAGCCCTCTTCTAGTCTCCACAGGTATTGCACCTATGTGGTGCAATTACATACATGCCAGCCAGCAAAATTCCCATACAAATAAATTACAAAAAATTTTAAATAATCATTAAAAACTAGCCAGCCTCTTGTCTCAGTCTCCTTAGCACTGGAATTACAAACTTGCTCTTCCAAACCCAACTTCGTTCACTCACTCTCTAAGAAGATATGTACAAAGACAATCATGTCCTGCCAGTCTCCAGCACAGAGAAGAACACAGTAGCATTTTGAAAATTCTCTAAGTACACTGGACTTCATTTCCCCAGCATGCACTCAAAAGAGTGCATTTGGAAGAAAAACAAAACTACACCGCCCCTATAAAAACTAATCTCTACTAGTAAGACATGGCTAATTGGCTAACTGGCTCTCCTTGTGTCTTCTGGCACCCAGGCTCATCCTGTCACTCTGTCATCTTCAGCTCTTTGACTGTTGACCTCTGAGTATGTTCCAAGATGTCATCATTCCTGTGCCTGCCCCTTAGTGACACCCACATCAGACAAGGGAAAGACGGCACTCTCTGAGACCACGTTTAAGCAGGTGAAACTGTTCCAAGCTTCTAGAAACCTCAAGTAGACGTCCTTTGACATCCCACTGGCCATACACTAGTCATGAATCTGTGCCTAAACCACAGAATTATAGGAGCAGAGGAACGGCAAGGGTTGGCTAAACTCATCAAGAGTCATTCTCTGAGAGCCCAAAAGCTCATGGCTGACCATGTCATCCAGGAAGAAGGAAGAGAGGCTGTTAGATGCCCTCACAGCATGAACAAATCCTGGCTGCATTTAGAGCATGTGACAGCTGCTTTCTCAAAGCTCACAGTCAAAATAAGAGTCCACAAACCTTTTCAGCCAGTAAATCAGCATGCTCAGCCTTGAGGACCACGTGAATTCTCCATGACTGCTCAACTCTTCTGCTGCTGTTTGGATCTGGAATGATGCTTCCATGGGCCCATGTGCTGAAGGCACACTCCCAGCTTAGTGCCAATAGGAAATGATGGAGATTTTAAGGGGCGGGTGCAGCATGAAGTCTTTTTAGGTCATCAGGCATATAAAGGGGATCACTGGACCTCAACCCCCTCCCCCTTTTCCTCTTTTTCTCCTTGGCCATTAGGTGAAAAGTTTAACTCCACCATATACTTCATACTCTCTCACCACAGGCCCAAAAGCAGTAGAATAACTGACCAAGAAATAGAATCTCCAAAACCATGGGCCAAAATAACCTTTTTCTCTTTATAAGTTGATCATTTGGGGTATTTTGTTATAGTAATGGAAAGGTGACTAATACATTTGCTATTTTAGGTCAAAAACAGTACTTAAACAAATACATATAGCTGGGTTCCAATAAAACTTTATAAAAAACCAGGTTGCTGGTTGGATTTTGGCCCAAGTTCTTTGAAGGGTAAATCTTTTGTCTAATAGAGTGACAGACATGTAAACTGAGATCTTACACTGGTTGCAGCATGTTCTGGCTGGCAAAACTAGGGTTTGATCAAGATCATTTTTCAATTGGCTACAATACCCACTATTCCCCATTCTCTTATGTCATGCTGCCCTTCATCCTGTCATGATTCCAGGGTAAAAGTGAAGGCTGTGTTGCCCAGAGTTATAAGAAACATCCACATATTTATTAATGGCATCTGTACATGGATGTTTGTGTGTAAATGCCATTAAGAGATAATACTCACACACCAAGGAAACTGAATAAAATTCTGCCGGTGCTGATTTTCTAGGCACACGGCTCCAGGGAGCTCAGTGCAAACCCTCTCTCGGGATGATCAGCAGTGGCTCTCACTGACAAGCTGTGTGGTAACCCAAGCCCTGCATTCTGCTGACGAGCCACACTCCCGTGGTCTATGAGCTCAGTGGAATTATACCCTGTTATTGAGTCCTGAACCATATATTATCATGAATACTAAGCCAATTCAAATGGCCATCCCCTCTGCCTTAACATTAGACAAAGTCTTGAGTAATTACCCTTCTTTTCAAAGAATGTGTTTTCCTTGGCATTGAATCCTGCTAAAGCCTAGGGTGCCTGGGCCTCCTGCACTAAGCTTTCATGCTCCTGGAGAGGCTGCTAGCATCTGGGGTCATTTATACAAGGACCTGTTGTGTGACACTATTTCTGTGGACATGTGATCAAACTCACCCCAGAAAGAGAACTGAGATTAGAACAAAGTCAAGACCATCAAATTTCAGCTTGGTGAACCAATGAGTTTTATTAGAATTACAGGAGTATAGGTGAGAGGGTACTTACAGGTGCAGGAATAACTCACAGACACCTGCATCACCAAAAGCCCACCACTGTGTGGGTGGCAGCTCACAAAAGCTGGAAAGCCGAGCTCTCTGCACAACCTGCAG